GATGAACAAAGTTTTAAATGTGACACAGAGATAAACTGTGACGAGGAAAAAATAAATAATAATAATAATTTTCTTCTTCATTATTCGTCTTTTACGCTCTTTTGTAATCAGTTCTTTAACAACCGAGCATTTTTTCATATTTAGTTGAAACAGCTAAAGACGATGATCATGAGCGTTCAACATAATCCAGTTACTTAATAACTAGCAAAGGTTTTGCTTATTAATATTGTTGCTTCACATATAAGAAGAAACCGAGACGAGCCTCACTTTATCTTCAGATTAATACATATTGTCAAGGTTAGGTGGAGGTTTTTGAGGAACCAGATGCAGAGGGGAGTTTTTAGATTGAATAAAGATCCAGAGTAAAACAGGCGTGAAAATCCAAAAGTACAAAATGGTGAAAACCAAAAAAAATCAGAAAACCTGAGGGAAAACACACATGGGGAGCAAAGAGACGACGGAACAACAAAACAACAACGAGAAACCAGCGCTGAGTGACTGCAGAGGTGGAGTATATACGGAGAAGAAAGGATGGACCAATGAGCTGATATGGAGCAGGTGTGAATAGAACCAACTAGAAGGAAGCCACATGGAAAGGAAACAAACACAAGGGGGCAACAGAGAGCAACTTAAGATCTACAAACTGCTAGAAAATAACAACAAATACAAAGAAACTAAAAATAAACTTAAACAGAGGGCAGAACCCAGACACATAGAGGACATTTTAAAACTGAACATTGGTGGGTTTTGTTTAATTTAAACAATTCAACTAAAGATAAACCAAACTAATGAATGTAATCCCAGCACACTGGTTTTCCTTAGAAAGAAAACTGGTTGAATTATCTCAATAAAATGACCTTAGATGACATGATGTGAATTGAGCTATAGAAATAAACTGAATAGAATTGTTTTTTCCAGCAAACAGGATTTTTTTTTCATGTCCTCTTCTGACCTCATCTAAAAGCCTATATCATTAGATAAAATCTGTTGTTAAAGAGAAGAGATCCTACAGATAGATCACAGGAAAAGCAGGTAGAAGCACGGATGGATGCTCACCTTGACGCTGTCCTCATCCTGGCCCAGGTACAGGCTTCTCTCCGGCAGGGTCAGTCCCTCCTGATCAATCTGTGAAAGCAAGAAGAACAGAGAAATGACTTCTTCTCTTTAAGGCTGCGTGTTTCCCTGCAGGACTCCGCAGATGTTTACTCAGAGAGCTGCTAAATGAATCAAAGCTTCGCTGCTAATGAATAATTCACACAGTTGAACACGTATTACTCTCAAACACTGATCAAGCTAAAACACATTACAGCGGAGAGACTGTGTGTTTATTCTGTGATGGTTTAGGATAACTGAGCCCTGGGGAGACGAAGGAAAACAGCCAAAGTGTTTGACTATGAGTCCTGGCACTTTATGGTTCGGTTTGGAAACACGTTTTCCTTGCTAAATGTACACGGTCATTCTATTAACATTACAGAGCAACAGGTTGACAATTAGGGCTGGGCAATTAATTGCATTTGCAATATAAACTATATACTAAATATAAGCTATATTTAAATCACATACACACTCTATTTTAATTACACTATATTTCAATTTTAAAAACTCAATCAGAAGAATTTTATTTTGGCGCTTAGACCTCGGCAGGAAACATAGAATTTTACTATAATATGCATAAGCAGGTGTATGAGAACAGGGATGTTCCCCCCCCCAAAATTGCCAAGGTTGAGGTCAGTGTGTCAGCATGCTCAGAAGGCAGAAAGACTGGAAAGCTAAGAAACGTAGAACAGCAGGATGAGTAATAGAGGAGATGTGCTGTGAAGGC